AAGCCAAACCCGATGCAGGACTCATGCATAAGCCATACATCCCGATAAGTCTTCAACCAAGACCCATCACATACTCGTCTCCAAGTATAACAACTCATAATGCTCCACCTGCATCACAAGCCCCGGGCAAGCTCCACCTTAATGCCAACACACCTACACCAGGAGCTCCCCAACTTCGCCCCTCAGGGCCTACTACATCACGTAGTAATCAATATTTAGCAAGTCTAAGCAATGTTTAAACTTGCTAAACGGAACAGGCTTAGTGGAGAAATCAGCCGGGTTGTCAGCAGTCCCAATCTTCTTCACCTTAATCCTCTTGTCAGTACGTAAGAAATGATACCTGACATCAATGTGCTTCGTCCGATCATGGTGTACTTGATCTTTAGCTAAGCAAATCGCACTTAGACTATCACAATACACTGTAGCAAAATCCTGTGCAATACCCAGTTCACCTACTAGGCCTTTGAGCCGAATAGACTCCTTAGCTGCAGAAGTTAGAGCCATATACTCAGCTTCAGTAGTTGACAACGTAACTGATGACTGCAATGTAGACTTCCAACTAACCACAGAACCACCCAAAGTGAACACATAACCAGTCACAGACCTCCTGGTATCCACATCAGCTGCATAATCAGAATCACTGTACCCAGTGACCAAGCATTCCTTACCATTCCCGTACACAAGACCAATATCAGCTGTCCCTCTCAGGTAGCGAAAAATCCTTTTCACCCCTTGCCAGTGTTCCCTCCCAGGTCGAGCCATAAACCTGCTTACAACACTAACAGCATGCGCAATATCCGGCCTAGTACAGACCATAGCATACATCAAACAACCAACCGCGTTTGCATATGGAACTCTAGACATATAAGACAACTCCTCCTCTGATTGAGGTGACATAGACAAAGACAACTTACAACTAACAGTAGTTGGCGTACTTATAGGCTTCGATTTTTCCATCCCAAAACGAGACAAAATCTTTTCAATGTAGCTTTTCTGAGTCAAGAAAAGCTTACCTCTAGCCCGATCCCTGTAGATCTCCATACCCAAAATCTTCCTAGCTGCACCCAAGTCTTTCATGTCAAACTCCGAGTTAAGCATCTCCTTTAATCTAGCAATATCAGTCTTTGTGGCAACCAACAATCAACATATAACATCATGAACCATTATCCAGCTTACTATGATACACACAGCAATCATATGAATTCCTGTCAAAACCTTGTGGAATCAAACCTTTTTTACCACTGTCGGGGGATTGCTTAAGTCCATACAATGACTTTAGCAATCTGCAGGCATAGTGTTCCTTTCCAGGAGCTTCGAATCCTTCGGGCTGCTTCATCAGAATCTCCTCCTCCAAATCGCCATGAAGGAAGCCGTTTTAACATCCAACTGCTCCAGCTCAAGATCAAAATGTGCTACAATTGACAATAACACACGGATAGAAGTATGTCGAACCACAGGTGAGAAATATCTCAACAAAGTCAACCCCTTCTACCTGACTGAACCCCTTAGCAACTAGCCTAGCCTTAAAACGTATTTGCTCAGTTTCCGACAACCCTTCTTTCTTCTTGTAAATCCATTTACAACCCACAAGCTTCCTCCCTTCCGGTACTTTTACCAGTTCCCACACTCTGTTCTTGTAAAGGGACTGCATCTCTTCACCCATTGCGGCAAGCCATTGCGCAGACTCACTACAACTAATTGCTTGTTTATATGTGGCAGGTTCAAATGACTCTACATCATCAGCTACACTCAATGCATAACCTGTCATCGCATCAACACAACAATTTCTTCCCTCCATCTCTTCAATCAATCTAACAGGCTTCTTGATAACTCGTTTAGGCATCTCAAGAATGGTGTCAGGTTGACTAGATGACCCCTGATTAGATTGCTCCACCTCATCCCCAGAGTTAGAATGAGTAGGAGTAATCTCAGGTTCAGGAGTACCCGGCACTGGAACATCAGCATCATCATCAATATATTGTACCCGAGGTAAATCAGCAATGGTAGACTGATGTACCTCAAGTACCCCATCTGTCTGTAATAAATTGTCTCCTTCCCTTCTCAAATCTGAAATCTCTGCATTTTTAATTGAATACATGGTGTTTTCATCGAAAGTAACATCCCTACTAAGAATGACCCGACCCTCCGAAGGTGAAAAAAATTCTAAACCCCTTCACACCATCCCCGTACCCAACAAAACACCCCTTCTTGGCTCGTGGATCCAGCTTACCCTCAATAACATGATAATAAGCAACACAACCAAAAATCTTCAAATTCGAAAAATTAGGCAACTTACCACTCCAGATCTCAAACGGAATCTTGGAATCAATTCCAGAATGAGGACCCCTATTAATGACATAACAAGCTGTTAACACAGCTTCACTCCAGTACCTCCTCCCAAGCCCTGCATTGGAGAGCATGCATCGGACTCTCTCTAGCAGTGTCTGATTAACCCGTTCTGCTACACCGTTCTGCTGTGGTGTCTTCCTGACAGTATGATGCCGACCTATACCCTCATCTGCACAGAACTGATTAAACTCGTCTTTGCAAAACTCTAGCCCATTGTCCGTTCGTAGCTTCTTGATCTTCCTTCCTTGTCGATTTTCCACCAAAGCTTTCCATTGCTTGAAAACTTTGAAGGCCTCATCCTTTGACTTAAGCAACCTAAGCCATGTGTATCGGGACTTGTCATCAACAAATGACACAAAATAGTGGTAACCTCCCATACCTTCAACTCTAGATGGACCCCAGCAATCTGAATGGATGTAATCGAGCACTGCATCAGTAATGTGAGCACCCTTGCTGAACTTTGACCTGTGTTTCTTACCAAACACACAATGCTCACAAAATTCAAGGTTGGCAACCTTGACCCCGGATAGAAGACCCCTCTTGGACAATAGCTGCATCCCCTTCTCCCCCATATGACCAAGCCTCATGTGCCAAATCTTAGTCATCTCCTGGTGAGATACAGATGCGCAAACCGCAGAACTAGGCAGTGTAACACCCTCAAAAACATAGAGGGTGTTCCTTTTGATACCCTTAAGTACCAACTCAGAACCTCTGAAAATACACAACTCCCCATCTGAAAACACACCATTGTACCCCAATTCATCCAGGGTACCCAATGAAATCAGATTCTTTCCTAAAGCAGGAACATGCCGTACATTAGTCAAAGTTAACCTCCGCCCATCAACAGTCCTCAACCTCATGGAACCAATACCTGTGACCTTACATGGAGCATTGTTACCGACTATAACCATACCCCCATTGCGAGGTTCATATGTATCAAACCAATCTCGACGTGGACACATATGGAACGAACACCCCGAATCTAGAACCCAGTTATCAGATAAATCATCAGACCTAGCAGAACTGACTAATGCTAAATCTTCCTCTGAATTATAGCTCTCATTCGGTTTCTCTTCAACTACAGCAGCCTGGGACTTGTTTTTCCTCACCGGACAATTATTCCTAAAGTGACCCGGTTCTTTACAGTAATAACATGTTTTAGTAGTAGTTTTACTAGATCCATCCTTGCCGTTTCCAGCACCCGACCCAGCATTGTTCCCCTTGTTAAACCCCTTATTCTTTTTAGACTTTCCGGACTTAACAAATAACCCACTACCATTATCCCCATTATCACTCGTAGCTTTCATTCTGAGTTCCCTAGTATGAAGTGCTGCCTTCACTTCTTCTAAGGTTATAGAATCCTTACCAACAACAAAAGACTCTACAAAATTCTCAAAGCTAGACGGTAGAGATACAAGTAAAATCAACGCAGCATCCTCATCATCAATTTTAACATCTAAATTACGTAAATCAAGCAAAATAGAGTTAAGTTTTTCTAGATGTTCCCGTAAGGAAGTACCTGACTGCATCCGGAGGCTAAACAACCGCTGTTTCAGTAATAATTTGTTGGTCAACGACTTAGTCATATACAATGACTCCAGCTTCAGCCACAATCCAGCCGCCGTTTCCTGATCAGCAACCTCCGTGATGATTTGATCATCAAGACTAAGTAATATGGTAGAGTGTGCCTTCTCTTCCATAACTTCTAACTGCGAGTCAGTCGGTCCGTCTCCTGACTCCGAAGTAGTACTCTTTGGAGCCAACGGACGCCATATCTGCTGTTGTTTTAACAGAGCCTTCATCTTAATTTGCCATAGCCCGAAACTATTTTTCCCGGTAAACTTCTCAATTCTTATTGTTGAATCTCCTGCCATTGTTATCTTCAAGAAACTCTCCAAGGATTGAACCTGAGCTCTTGATACCAATTGTTGTGCGACAGCGGAAGCAAAGGTCGAAAACAAACAAGAAAACAATAAAGAAATTCAATGCAAACAATAAGAACAACACCAAGAATTTACGTGGTTCACTATCGATGTGATAGCTACGTCCACGGGCACCGAGATCGAATGATTTCACTATAAACTGCAAAGATTACAAAGATGATTCTTGTATTTCTCAAGAACGGCTCTCACTCTGTCTCTCTTCACCCTAATACTGATATTAGGGAGGTTTTATATTAATCCCTAATTAAAAGATACTTGGGCAAAAAGATAATAAAATAAGATAACCTAAAACCGCAAAATCCGCGTTCCGTATTTTTCCTTCTCCGCCCGGTCAGACCGGGCAAGGTCTGCCCGATCGGGCGCGAGAAGAAAACTCCATACGAATGCTTCAACGTATCCAACCCCCACCGCCCTGTCAGACCGGGCAAGGTCTGCCCGATCGGGCGAAGGCTCGCCCGGTCGGGCGAAGGCTCGCCCGGTCGGGCGCGAGAGCAGCTTCTTCAACGAATTTGCCAGGCACCTCTTCTTCTTCCGCCCGGTCAGACCGGGCAATGTCCGCCCGATCGGGCGGACAAAGCTACGAAGTACGAGTCACCTAATATACTTATCAACAATTATGACCACTAATTTTTACTAATATGTTCTAAGATGGTAAAAGGTTTTCCTCTAATAATACAGGTTTAAATTTTTTTAGCAAAGAAAAAAAAAAAAAAAAAAAAAGGAACGTTGTTAAATAGATTTGATATTTAATCTCGGTCAACTAGCACTGTATTTCATTATATACTTATGAGTTATGACTTACTTCAAAATACTCACTAACTACTATCTAGCTCATCATGCTTTTATTTGGACATGAAGTTTTAAGGATTAGTAGAGACTAGATCTATCACTTAAGACCAAACTTTCTTAGCTAATTATATTTTTAAAATGTAATTATCTCAAACCTAATCTAAATTTAAAAAAAAAAAATCAAGTCAACGTACATATAGTATATATCTACCAATAAAAACAAGCGTTAATTCACATTTCATTCAACTTCTAAAATAATATTTAAATAAAAAAAAATAAAAAAAAAAATCATCAAACGTAACAAAAAAAAGTACATAACAATAGGTCATACGATATTTACAAAAGAAAGTACGTAACGTAACGTACCTGAACAATACAAAGAGGGTGACCTTCCACTCCCAAGGTAGCATCAAGTTCCTTGGTTAAAAGTTCCTCAAATGCTGGATTAGGGTAAACCAAATCACCAAGTTCATCCAAAGTATACTCACAACTAGCTACCACAAACCCAATCCCTGCATTTTTGCAATCAACCTCAATTCGACCGGTCTCGGTATTAACCTTAATCCTTCCCGGTAAGAAATAATATGGCACTAGCAACTTTTGTAACGCGTTCTTAAGCTTTTCGAACACAATTTTTGGAGGGAATTCAGGGTTTGGATTAAAGAAATGTATGGTTTGAACATCAAAGTTAAGGACTTGATCAATGTTGGATAAAAACATGTTTTTTTGTTCATTTTCTTGGGGTGAATAAATTAAACATGAATCTTGGATGGTGACTTTAAGGTGTTGAGGTAAATGTGGAGGAGCTTGGTATACGGTTCCCATAATATTAGCAAATTAAAGTATGTTATTTTTTTAGGTTTTTGTTGTTGTTTTGATGTGTATGTGTTGATATATATAGATGTAAAGTAGATAGGAAGGTCATGTAAATTCTTGAAGCAAATTAATGTGCAAGCTGTTTTTGTACTGGTCTTGAATGGACTTTTCACTGTCAAAACTCTCTTACAAATTAAACATAATTGAGATAGATGGAGTAATTGATGATAATTAAATATATAATTTCGTAATAGTTAAAATTGAGTGATTAATTAATACTTAAATAAAGACATTAAAAATCAATATAGAGCGTTATCAATCGTAAAAGTCAAAATAGTAAAATACTACAATTAATTATGAAACTTATACAAACACATACTCATAAATAATCATGAACCAAACTTATTTGGAGTATTCACCTTGTAAATTTAAGGTCACAAGGTTGAATCCTCCTAAATGTAATAGGGAGTACATGAAGGTGAGGATTATTCCTACCCCACCCCTCTCACTTTCAAGTGTTTGACCCGTAAATTAAACCCCCATGGTTAAGATCTAATCAATACTCCTTAATCCTTTACCTTAAAAATAAAACTTCATAAATCATGAATTCATGATAGTGATGGTGATGGTGATCCATACACTTTATCGTAACTCTTTAGTATAAGTAGTTACGTACAAGCATAAGTAGTTACGTACAAGCTAAGTAGGTGGGTAGTAGTGGAGACTTTAAGATGGGCATAAATGTCTTCACTCCAATCACTTAGGTTATTGTCCGGGAGGTTATAGCCATTGTTTCATCCTGATGACCCAGCATTATGATAATGTACGTAAGGTTTTTTTTTTTCCTAAAAGAAAATTGAAATTATAGTCTTTAATGCTATAAAAAAAATTCAAATAAATATTAATTACACTTCTTCTTCTTTATGGTACTGTATTAATGTATGATGATTTTTTCCTAAAAGAAGATTGAAATTTTAGTCTGGCTTTAAGGCTATATAAAGAATAAATAAATATTCTTTACACTACTTCTTCTTCTTCTTTCTTCTTCTTCTTCTTCTTCTTCTTCTTCTTCTCTTCTTCTTCTTCTTCTTCTTCTTCTTCTATTATTATTATTATTATTATTATTATTATTAGTATTTCGTGTTCATCTATATCAAATTAAAACATCAAAACAATACTCAAAATTCTAAACGTAAAATCACTAGTAATTAATTTGTCAAATTCTGATATTTAGAAAGCACTCGTATTTTAATTAGGTTATTGGTACAGACACTCCCTCCGCCTCTTTAAGATAGTTCAATGTATCTTTTTAGGGTGTTTGTTTGAGTTTGTCACATGCCTCTTTGATAGGCCGTCGTCGAGCCTACCAAAGATAATAATTCCTATCTTGGTCTCACTAACAATAGTAAGGGTAGAAAGGGTCGAACCCAAGAGAGGCGTTGAATCAACCACCGAGTACTACCGTTTAAATAAGCTAAATGAATTCTAAATTGGGTTGGTTTTGAGTAACTTCTTCTAATTCAATTCAACTAAAACTAAGAGGAGATTAACAATATTAAGAGGAATCTAGGGCTTGGGTTATACCACTCAATTTCATCACAAATCACAATTAGCATGCTACAATCAAGGTGAATTAATGGGACAAATTAAGGGAAGTCATCTAAAGCACCCAACTACTCTCTCAAGCTAGAGGGATTACTTGAATCGTGAATACAACCTACTCTCGTGGTTACATAGCATAAAACAAGTGTTAAAGCATAATCACGATGACATAAACATTCCCTTGACCGGTAATCCCTATTCTCATGACATTTCGGGTCAATTAAGCATAAGGGAGCTAACTCAAGTTCATCTCTCGATCCTTCGTTGAGAAAGCTTGGATAAATAGTTCTAGCAA